TCGCCGTCCTGTACAAGAATGGTCCTATACAATTTTCTCGTAGATCCAACGGTTTAGGAGTAATTAAGGAAAAATGAAATTTTTTGCCAAAAGTTCGCCATTTCGACGCTGGGATGGTCGGATTTTGTCAACATCAATAAAATGCCAAATAATCATACGTAACTCGTTAAATATCGAAATTAGAAGGAAAACAACTTTTATTTGAAGCATTTTTCGATACATAAACTTTTGGAATTAACTGTATAGCCAATACATCCTTAAATGCAATTAGAATATAAACAGAACGAAATTGAATTATTAGTTTACTAATACTACGTAATAAATTCACGAAAAGTGATATTAATGATAAATGACAAAACGTGATAATACCATTCTTATCCATTTAGTGTGAAATTAACCGATGATGTTTATGCTTCTAACATATTCGTTGCCGAAGTTACAGTGTTAGCGTTCCACTGGACATTAACACGAACGTTTGCTATTTGGACAGAACAATTTCTCGCTTGGAATATAATCTGATAAGTTGATAAGTTACACAGAGCCGAGAAGAGGTTGACTAAAGTTCTAACGTGCATTAGGTTATTAATGGCCTCGCGATACCCGAGGTACCGTGTATTCAGAGCTATGGGCCAAATTAGGGTTCCCAAGACAGTATGCTCGAGTGTATCTTACCACGTTATTCACGCAGCTACTTCGAAAACAAATTCCTTTCACGAATTAACAATACTAAGGACTGTTCATATATTTTCCCTTGTATAGTTTGCATTAATTATTATTCATATTCACTCGCCGTTCCTTCCTCAATGCTTTTTCTACATTACACTTATGCTTACCGTCTCCTCAAACTCGACTAGACTTCATTCTGTCACACTCACTAGTCATTAATTAAATGTAACGAACGTGCAATTTACGATTTGGAATATAAAAATGTAATGGTAGGACAACTTAACCCGGTTCCGAGGCGATGACGCGAATAAAAATCCTCGGCATGTGCATCAAATCGTCGTCTATCGATCGGTCGCATAACTCTCCCAGTTGCCCGATAATTGGCAATGGGGCATTTACACGGAGAACGCGCGACGAACGATACGTGTATGTATTTCGTTCCGGGTTTTAACCCAGATCGGCACGCACATGGATCGAGGAAAAATGGTCGGAGAACGGGTGAGAAAAATAGAGTCCAGTATCCTTTTACGGTGCGGCAAACAATGCCGTAAATTTAGGATACGTGGCCATCGCCGACGCGAAAAATTATACGGCCACGCTCCTTTCGAGTGGGATAGCACCAAGTTTGCAGCATAGAATTGGATCCCTCGAAGTAAGCGTACTCCTCGTTAATTAAGAAATCTCAATTGGACCTCGTTTAGGCGCAAGAGGATCCCGGATGGCCAGGGCTCGGCTTGAAAGAGCTTGCGTAAACGCAAGCCAGACCGGCAGTCGTTGTTAATTATACGCGTTTATAATTAAACGTTTCACCGGGGCATTTGGGCTTGCAACGGAACGGGCGAACGTTTCTTAAGGTCCGCGATTCGCCAAAAGAATCTTCGTAATGAGGGGAACGATAATTCGTGACTAGATGAATGGCAGGTAGATAGAAACTGATTAATATGGAATTAATTAAGAAATTGTGTTCGAGTGATGTATCCAAATGCTCGACGAGTACCTAACGTATACGAGATTTAAATTGGAAATCTGCTTAAAAAATTCTCTCCAAATTGCGTGAGTTTCATCAAATGAAAGTCTGCAATTTTTCATTTTAATTATGACATTAATTTTGTATCTCACGGTTTACATAACTCTTAATTAACTTCACATATTGCATGTCGTTGAGTTGAGAACTGCTTGCTAAATACACTAGAATGTAAATTAGGGATCAGAATGGAGGGTTAATTGATAATTGCTTGTAATACTATCAAGAGTGCGTTCCATGCACAATCAAGATTATATCGAACGTGAAATTCCAATTAGTGGATGGATTTAGAAAACGAGCCCTTGTAACTCTTAATAACCAATTTCCTCGAGATAGGAGTTGGGCCTATAACAATCTATTGACAGTAAATTAATCGAACCAGGGTGTTTCTGTGTGACGTAAATAAGCTATTTAAATTTCCATGATCGCACTAATAGCTGTACCTGTAAGCGCATAGCCTGGTTTATTATGAAAAGCATGTAGATTTACTTCCTACACGATCGATCCGATTAAGATTCATCCCGCTGTATTTGGAATAAAACGTAACTATCGCAGGTTATCAATGATTAAAGGCTCGATAAGAGTAAATAAATTCGTCGGCTGAAATTTACACATTTCTGACGCATAATGCATGCAACTGTGAATGATTTATGGACAAAATTTCACACGATTCTGTAAAAAATCCGTGGCCAAATCGAGTTTGCAGCTTCGCTAACAGAAGAATCAGAATAATAAAATTGAATAATCCAATGTTTTTTTTTTCCCGCTTCGACATGAAATTACTGTGTGTACGTACGATCATGCGTAAACATTGCCTCGTGCATTTTTCACGTGAATCTTCGGCGAGTTTTATATCTCCGAAACAGTAGCAATTATTGGATTTCCCTCAGCGTTCTCGATAATGCTTTGCATTAATGGATTGGAATTATTATTGTGATTGATCGATCATCGTTCACCATTGAAAGAAATTAATCGAAGTTATTGCTGATTGTGAAATGGTAATTGATAAAATTCAATTTGAATCACATTCATTTAGACCGCTTTAAATAGATTATAAAAAAGTTAAATATCATTTATGAACCACATGAATTATTTATAGACTGATGACTTTAAGCGACGATGTATTAGATTAAATAATTCTCGGTCGAATTTTATGCGTCCGGCGTTTATGGTTCGCTTTACGCTCGCTTTTTCTTCGTTGATAGAAAATGTTTGTTCAATTCATCAGCTATCTAATCGAGATTAATGGAGAGCGAGATCACTAGAATGCGCGTAGAATGGACACACTGAATGTTAATTAAATCTCGAGTCGGAATTCGTCTTCGGACGCAATGGGATTCCATACAATTGCAGCATTCATTCAACGAATCGTGGAGAGATTCAATAGATCGGCTTTGAGCGAATCGGTCATGTTGATTATTCCTATTAGACCGTGAAACGTATATTGCAGAACGGTTCGTTGATAAGTGAACCGAAGGTAATAAGTATCAAAGTGAATATTCGTTTCAATCATCGCATGATTGCACATATTTGCACTTTTTTTCGATGTCTACTTTTGTCAATGGCTATAATCTTTTCGAGCTTTGAATATTTCATGAGACAATATTTTTCTATGTTTCTAGTAATTTGTATGCAGCCAATGAATTCATTAGAATTTTAATGTCAGTTTTATGATTAGAATTCTAAAGGAAGTATTTATATTTTCAATTCTGATATTCAGAAATGTTACTGGATTCAATTTACTCTTATTTAATCTCAGCTAGCCTTCCTGAAGCATTTCATTATTTTCATAATAACCAAAAGAGAATTCCTACGTAGAAGAACCACTATTGGAATTTGAATTATTATATAGGATTGTTGCCGACCTACCTTTTAATAACTTCTCTTTGTTGAAGGAAGGCTTCTTTCCAATGATCCCTCTCAGTTATTGCATTCATTAATTTCGAATTTAGCTGTGTTCTGGTTCGCATTGCCTCTTCATGGAGTTGTCTAAGTTCTAGGAAAATATAATTTTCTATTTTTGCATCTATCGAATTTGGCGAAATTAATTAATTATAGTTCCAATGTTGATTACTTCCATATCAAAATGTTATTGTGATTATATTTTACTCATGAATTTTTTTTATTCATAGTAAGAATTGTACTTTATTTTATTCTATGTAGCCAATATTCTATTGTTCTGTAACATTGTCTATTGCTTATCTAATACCAGGAATACTAGGAGAAGGAACATAGGATCAATGATACTCACGTATCTGCTTCTTTGAAATTTTTATTTTTATATTATCGAGGCAATGACACTTGTTTCATACTGAATGTTTCCACCATCATGGGATCACGATGCAACGTCCCAATTTCGACAGAGAATTTTAAGAAAATTGACGTTTTAAAACGTGATCGAAATAATGATTATTCCATACTTGTATTGAACGTGAAATCTTATCAAAGTTTGTATCCAATTTTCATAGTTCTTAAAATTGAAATAGTTCAAATCAAAAGTTCCATTCACTCTGATTTGAAGTCGTCTAGACGTTTTATATCTATATTACTATAATTAGATCCTAATTTGATGATACATGCAATGAAATAATTTCTCAATTAAGAAGTAATCGTTTCACTGATAAGATTGAAGATATTCAAGATATTTTTGTATTATCCAGTGATTAAAATTGACTTTTATTATCGACATTAATATCAATTATTAGCAAATAAACGCCAAGTTCTGTAGCACAACTCGTTATACAAGTACTAATGTCTCTTAATTCTCCCGAAGTCCGTAAAAAGTGGTCATGCTTGTCGGCCGCGAAGAAATCCTTAATACCACGACTTACCCTCGCTTTCGAGTTTCATGCGATTAAACTCAACTTCCCGGCGACTCTGTGACTGCAAGTTGATTTCGAAAGCTCGCTCGAGCTGGAAAAACTTCGTCCCTAGTTCGCGAAGGTTTCGACGCAATTCCACGGCTTCCGATTCTCTCCTTTGCAATTGCTCCTCGAGATACCGTTGTCGCGAGTCCATTCCTTCCAGAATTAACTTTAATTAAGACACCGATCTCGATCCCCTTGAAACAGTCTACAGCCGTTAAAGTCGTGAACTCGTAGTCTCAGAATGACACTTTGCTAGTTTTTTGTAATCTCATATGTTAGATTTTATCTAGTGATTGGGTTCTAATGATTATAACGTTTAATTAAGGAGTTTGTGATATAAGTAAATAATCTTTTTGAGACATGAAATACTTGAAAATAATTTCAGTTATAATTTCATAGATTTCCTTAATTAATATTCTTGCTAATATCGAGTATTTGCACATCAAACTCGTTTAGATTAAATCTTTTGATTGTGTAAAAGATTTTTATTAATTCCGTCACGGATTTACCCAAGCCTGTTAACCTGTGTTTGGAAAGGATTTGTAGACATATTTACCGATAGTTCGAAATCCAATTTCTTCGTATAAAGTTCGTGGAACCGCAAATATTTGACGTAATGACCGGTCGAAGAAAACAGGGGCTCTTGATTTTCCAATCGAGTGGACATCGTGCTCGTAGGGTTCGATCATACGCTTCGAATTGAGGTTCGATTTCATCTCGAAGTTGGCCACGGCCGCTTGACCGGGAAAATCGACACGAGTAATCGATTCGGAAGAACCAAGCATTCGTCTGATGGTCAATGTTTCGCGCGGTGTCTGGATTTCCTGAGAGTTCCTTCATTCATATACTTCCCACGTTCAAATACTAATTATTAGAATTCTGAATTTTAGAGATTACGTTATTAAATTATGTATCCAGCTTATGTTTCGTCAAATTGCACTTAAAAAAAAAATTGATCATAATCATTATTTTTCTATTTAGAGTATATAGTTAATAAACGAATTAAGGCTATAACGCTGTGACCTTCGTGTTACGTAAGATACAAATAATATCATGTATACATATAATATATAAGAATATCGAAATTTTATTATGATTTCCTCAAAGTGATGCCCGACTCCTGTATATCCTTAAAGGATTATACTATACATTCACCAAAGTGACGCTAAGCAAGCTCATTATCGTGATATTCCACGCGACCAGCGATGAAATGCGGACAGAAATGATCCCCTCTGTTTCACGCTAATGACTGCTCCATTCTCATTTTTCTATGTCAGGTCGGGGTCCCCGGGCTTGTTCTTGTTATGAAATATGCAACGTCGTTATGAGCAGCCGGTCAACACAAAAAGAGCAGGAAGTTAATACATTGCGCGTACCCAGTCAGTCACAGCGCGTTGTTAATCCTTCGAAATCCCCTTAAACAAATACCTCTGCAGCAGGTTTGTTTATTTCGCGAGAAGTGAAGCTTCACCTCGCTGATCCACCCTGCGCCACCCTCCGAGAGGATTTCATGGTGTCTTCAAAAGAGGAATCGTTGTTCGTTAAACGAAATCTCGGTGCAGTACGATAAATTATAATTTACTCCGGTTGCGTTTCATTTATTTACAGTTTCTATGTTCTCATAAAAAGTGAATATGAGAAGAGTAAAAAATTTTCGAAAGTCAATAAATAATTCTTCAGTAAGTACGTTATTCCAGGAATAATATTTTATCTGGACAGTTGAAACCAATTAAATGGAAAACTTTACTTTATTTCTAGCGATTTCTCGTTCGCTGCCATGCAATAGATCAATTACTGCTGGAAGCACTAACTTTCCTGTATTTAACACTAG